TCCTATTTCCAACAATAGGATTAAGGCTTTCCCCATCCAATTGGAGCTGTGCAGCTCTGACCAATTAGAGCAGCTCTGTTCTGACCAATCAGGGGCCAGGGGCAGGGAATTCTGTCTATATAAGTCAGCTGCCCTATAGCTCAGACTGCACTTTCCACAGAAGACTGAAGACTATGTTTCCTGGGCTCCCCAAAGATGCCTCACTGGAGCAGAGCAAAGCAGACCATCATGGAGCAGAGCTGCCTAGCTGAAGAGGGGTCTGGCCCCAGGGCAGCCTCAGTGGCTGTGCTTTTCACAGCTGTGCTGTAGCACTATGGAGCTGTGCCACAGTGATACTGTTTTCTGTTGAGCTGTTGGCACTAAATAAAGTTTCCTTCCTCACTGCACACCAAATTGGGGACTCCTGTTGGCACTGACTTGTTCCCAACAACCGCTGATTAACATCCCCATACATTTGATTGCACTGGTTTCTGACTGTTATTCTCTGCTAGTTCTGTCTTTTAATATATCCAACAAATTTTAGAATTACAGGAGGATAAATAGAAGTCAGTGGAGAAGTAGGAAAAGCAAATTTCGGAACAGATATATCAAATGATCATGTTTTGAAAATTATACAAATATAAACATGTATGTTCTTGAACATATATAACTTAAAAGTAAAAATGGCCCTGGCGAGTGTTGGCCCGCCCACCAATAGGTCACAGGTTTGATTCCTGGTCAAGGGCATATACCTGGGTTGCAGGTTTAATCTCCAGCCCCAGTCAGGGCACATGTGGGAGGCAACTAATCAATGTATCTCCCTCATATCAATGTCTCTCTTTCTCTCTCTCTCTCAATCTCTCTCTCCACCTCTCCTCCTCTCCCCCCGCCTCCTTTCCACTCTCTCTAAAAATCAATGAAAAAAATATCCTCAGATAAGGATTAACAAAAAAGTAAAAACTGATATACATCAAACTTTTATCATTAACTACCTCTGAAGAGTGAGACAAAATAGTGGGAAGAATGCCACTTTCTACTTTATGTACCTCTAGTTTGCATTTTTATCATAAGTATCTATCCTAGCTAATAAAGGAGAAACATGGTAATTAGCCATACATCCCCTACCCTCCCATTGGCTAATCAGGGCAATATGCAAATTAACTGCCAGCCAAGATGGTGGCCAGCAGCCAGGCTACTGACACGAACAGGAGGCTTGCTTGCTTCAGTGACGGAGGACTCCAATGTTCCCCGCCTGCCGCTGCTGGGCTCCGAGCTGCTAAGAAACATTGTTACAAATATAGAAGCTAAACAAAACCCCAGAAACCTGTTTTCAGTCAGCCGGGATCTCAGAGCTGGAGTCGCAACAAAGTTTCAAATACAGAAAGTAAACAAAGCCAGAAACATGCTTTCAGCAGCAAGGTCTCACGGCTAAAGCCGGCTCTCAGCTCCAGTGACAGCCATAAATCCAAGAATAAAAAAAAAAATGGAAAAAAGGAGCTGTTGGGAGCTTCAGTCACCCACCAGCCTGAAAATGGCCCTCAGCCTCTCACCCAGACTGGCCGGGCACCCCAGTGGGGACCCCCACCCTGAAGGGGGTGTGACCAGATGCAAACAGCCATCATCGCCTCATCCAGGCTGGCCAGGCACCCAAACAGGACCCCCACCCTGATCCAGGATACCCTTCAGGGCAAACCAGCCGGCCCCCACCCATGCACCAGGCCTCTATCCTATACAGTAAAAGGGTAATATGCTTCCCAGCACCAGGATCAGTGGAGCCACGAGGCCTCCTGGCCCCTGGAGCAGTGTGACAGGGGGCAGTGCCCAAACCCCCTGATCGCCTTGTGGCTCTGTGTGTGACAGGGGGCGGGGCCACAACCTCCCTATCTGCCCTGCTCTGTTCGTGACAGGGGAAGGCACCCCAACCCCCTGATCAGCCCTGCTCTGTGCCTGATAGGGGAGAGCTCCCCAACCCCCTGATCGGCCCTTCTCTGTGTGTGACAGGGTGCGGCCCCCCAAGCCCCCCATGGGCCCTGCTCTGTGTGTGACAGGGTGGAGCCACAACCTCCCCATCGGCCCTGCCCTGAGTGTGATGGGGGGAGTGCCCAACCCCCTGATCGGCCCTGCTCTGTGGGTGATGGGGCAGCGCCCCAACCTCCCCATCGACCATGCCTTGAGTGTGACAGGGGGCGGCGCCCCAACCCCCCAATTGGCCCTACCCTGAGTGTGACTGAGGGTGGCATCACAACCTCCTGATCGGCCCTGCTCTGTGCATGACAGGGGGGAGCTCCCCAATCCCCTGATCGGCCCTGCTCTGTGCGTGACAGGAAGAAGCTCCCAACCCCCTGATCGGCCCTGCTCTGTGTGTGACAGGGGAGAGCTCCCCAAACCCCTGATCGGCCCTGCTCTGTGCGTGACAGGGGGGAGCTCCCCAACCCCCTGATGGGCCCTGCTCTGTGTGTGACAGGGTGCGGAGCCCCAACCCCCCTGATGGGCCCTGCTCTGTGCGTGAGAGGGGGTGGCGCCGCAACCTCCCCATCAATCCTGCCTTGAGTGTGACAGGGGCGGCACCCCAACCCCTCAATCGGCCCTACCCTGAGCGTGACTGAGGGTGGCATCGCAACCTCCTGATCCGCCCTGCTCTGTACATGACAGGGGGCGGCGCCCCAACTCCCCAATCGGCCCTGCTCTGAGCCTGACCAGGGGCAACGGGGCAGGCACCTAGGAATTGGGCTTGCCCTCTGCCACCTGGGAGTGGGCCTAAGCCAGCAGGTCGTTATCTCCCGAGGGGTCCCAGACTGTGAGAGGGCACAAGTGGGGCTGAGGGACACCCCTCCGCCCCCGCCAGTGCACAAATTTTTGTGCACCGGGCCTGTAGTATATATATAAAAGCCCAGAGACTGGAATGGCAGAAGGACCAGAACAACCGGTGGCTATGGCGTGCACTGCGGCAGCCAACCAGCCTGATCCGGGCCCCAATCGCCTCCCCCCAATCCCTGCTGGCCTGGCCCCCCGATCGGCCCCCAACACCCTGATCAGGGGTGGGGCCAGCTGGCCAACCTCTCACAGCCCCTCCCCCCAGCCAGCCCCGCCCCTGATCAGCCCCCCCACCCTGATCGGTGCCCCCCACCCTGATCAGAGGCAGGGCCTCTAGTAAAGATATAAAGAAAAGACTCCTCAAAAAATTTTTTTTCTAAGAGTATTTTTAAGACCAAGGATTAAGAAGATAAAAATCAAATTTCACAGATACAATGTTTAACATTTAAAAATTACTTCTCCTTCAAATATTTTTTATTTACATTTATTTAGAAAATGAAAAAGGCACTTATATCATGATAGTTACTTTTGTGAAAAATCTCCCAATTGCATTTTCCACTCAGAATGCCTCTGGTTTCTGCTGAACAACTTCATCCCTGCTTTATAACCTAGGCTCCTGAACCACTCTAGCTCTAATAGAGCACCTCAACAATAAATCAGTCTAACCACAGGTTCAACCATTACTGTGGTTGCACAGCAAAGAAATCATTGTCCTTTTGCTCCATGTCTTAGAAAAAAGTCTTTCATTCATTAATTTATTGATTCTTCCAGTAACTACTTATTAAATGTCTATCACATGCCTGGCACTGAGTGAGGTCCTGAGTACACACAGATAAGAAGTACTGGTCACAGCTTCAGGGAGCTTATTAGAGGAGAAGCAGTTCTAACACGTAACAATAATTGCTACAAGGAATCCCTGTACAAAGCGAAGTATAATCCAAGCCCAGCTGGAGCAAAGGGAAGGAAAGGCTTCACAGGCGTCCCTAAATCACCTAGAGCAGTCCCTTCTTCACTAACACTTTCCTCCTTTCCTCTCAACCAAAATATGCCTCTTCTCCCTTTGAAAATACTGCTTAAAAGTTACCTCCTAATCCTTCCAAAAAAACTCCACTTACTCCTTAATGTCATGTAATTCTTAAGGAAAACCAACCAAATCTGTGAAACTCAAAAGCAAGCAAGTAAAGGAAAAAAATAAATACTCAGTGAATGCCAGCTCTAACAAGTACCAGAGAGAGCAAGTACTTAAATCACTTCTCACTGGCCTATGTCTAGTTGTCTCTACTAACTTGCTTATCATTTGCACTTTAAGCTATCTCCCATTTGAAATAGTGAATTTTTCAAAGATGAATACTTAGACTACTCCAATCACTAGGTATATATTCCTAGGTATAACCAACTGGTGAGAAGGTGGAGGTGTCTAATAGCGTGTAGGGAAGGAACTCCTGCTGTTGTTTTAAATAAATCTCAATAGCTAACTAGTGCCAGTGTACCAAATACAACATAAATGATCTAGTTTTCTTCCCTTTAACTTAATGCAACCAAATGTAAAAACTGTAGTCAATGTATATTTAAAGTTAGAATACTATCACATTTTTCAGAAGAACCTTTGCAGGCCAGAAGGAAATAAGATGATATAATCAAAGTGCTGAAAGTAAAAACTTCAAATGAAAAATTATCTATACAGCAAGATTATCAATCAACAAACTAATACTTAATGGAAACCTATCCATAGACATCAAATAAATGGCTAAAATAGTAAATAATTATATTACTATATTAGAAAATGGGACTAATAATGTTATTAACAGAAATACATAAACCAGAAGAAGGAACAAGTGTTTAAGAAGAAAACTAATATATTGAGTTTAGTGCCAGGCAGGTGTAGACAAAGAACTGGTGGGCACACAGGCTGGGAAAGATATATAGATTGAGATTCTGCTGATTACAAGTGATAGTTGAAAAAAAAATAGTTACATCACAAATGATATACAATTCAGTAAGATAAATAACAAGCAAAAGATAAGTAACACAAATATAAAATGACTGTAGCCTGCCTAGGTAGGAGAACAATCTAACAAAAAAACTACAAATCAAGACAAGTCAAAACTTTCAAAGGAAAAAATAATCATTTTAGTAACTATTTTGTAATATAAAAATAACTATTTTACTTTTATTTAAGTAATTTAAGAAGAGTAATGTAATCCTACCTTACTACTATTCATTGTTGGTCATATCTTAGCTAAAGTAGCAGGTCCATGTTGAAACATTACACATTAGGGATGAAGAAGACACGATACAACTTTCAGTGGAGTCTCACGGAATGATCATAGGTCTAGCCAGAAAACATGAGCTGCAAGAAGAAATTCAAGGAGTCAGAATTGTACACCACAGAGAAAAAGGTTAAAATGTACACATGGAGTATAGTAAGCTACTATTGGAAATGAACTTTGGCAATATCTCACATTCATCACATTAAGAATAAAAATACTATTCTTACTTAACTTTATCCCCTGTTTACTCTCTCCCTTTCTTCCCATAAGTTTCCCAGTGAGTAATGTATCCTACCTTCTCTTCTAACCTATTCCCTGAGTTTTGAATAGGTAATTCATGTTTTTCTCATTTTTCACAGTATAAAACTAATTTTAAGTTTGAAGCATATCAAAAGAAGAAACTACACTTGTTGAAATATTATTACACCCTAAAGAAGTAGTTAACTATGTAAGAAAAATTTAGGTTTGGGAGGGATTCTCCCAGGACATATATACTTTCTCTATCTAACATACTTTAGTATGCCAAAACATGATCCTTGCCTTGGATATTCTCTCAACCCTTGCAACTAGGATATGTTTGTTGATTTTAGAGAGCAAGGAAGGGAGAGAGAGAGGAAGGGAGAACATTAATTGGTTGCCTCCTGTAGGTGCTTTGACCAGGGATCAAACCTGCAACCTAAATATGTGCCCTGGCCAGTAATGGAATCCACAAATTTTGGGTGTACAGACAATGCTCCAAACAACTGAGCAACCCAGCAAAGGCTGAAATTAGAATTTCTAAGATGTTTCTTGGTCATTGGTCTCTTATCACTGATGCCAATATATGCAGCTTGTTGCTGTTTCTCATTTTTTGCCTCACACCTCATATTTCTAATCCCAACTTCTTGGTTTATACTCAGCTTTCCCCTTTCTTCAAGCTCCTTATTTTTTGTTTGCTTATTCCGTTTCCTGTCATTTCCCCTACTTCCTTGACTTTCATACGGATCAGAGGACATTTCATTGATGTTACCAATATTATTACTCCTTTCATCCTGACCAAACACAGGAATATCTTCCAAGTCTCCTGACCCATTTTCAAAGGGTTCCTCCTTTGCCCCCCAGATAAGCATTTTATTCTCTTCCAGATTTGAGAAGGTTCATAATGCTACAACTGGTTGGAAATCTAATCTACATATAATGAAAGTGTTATTACATCCCTCTAGTTCAACTAAACTGTGATATGAATGAAGACAGGGATTGTTTCTTAATGTACCCAGCATCCTACACAGTACCTGGAACACTGTAGTTACCAAACAAGTGATTACTGAATGAATGAAATTCCAAGGTGAATTACAGCTTTCTCTGTATACTTTGGCATAAAGTAAGGCTTTGACAAGAGTTTCTGTAGTAAATGATAAAATTCATGACTTAAAAATATATTTAAATATAAAAACTTTAATCATGACTTCTCTTTTATACTGCTTTCAATATTTCTGGAATTCCCTGGAAATAGTACAGTAAACAGTATTACTTATAAAAGGAAACAAAATGTAGTGTGTGCCTAAATGTACACATTACATGTTACCTAATTCCACTCTAAAGACAGATTCCCCAAAGTTACTGAACAATCCATTTAATTTGAAATTGTTTAGCCTCTCCTCTCTATCAGCAAAGATAGTTCAAAGCTATCTAGACTTCCATATTCTGGTCTCTGACTATGATAGAAGCACATTTATTTTCAGAAACCTAAAAACAAGCTATTCAACTGGGATTCCATGTCCACCACCAAGCATTGTCAGGTGTCATGCTCAAGAAAGCTAGTCATAGTTCCCATGCATTATTTATGTATCATTTTCCAACTCAAGTCTTTTCTATACTTTTTTTAAATGAAAAAAAAAAAAAAGTATTTTTCCACTTCATATTGAAATTTGGGTTAAAACTAAGCAACAACTTCTTTGGTAGAATTCTAAATGGAACATTTCCTTGTTCAACCTACTATAAACCTATGATAAAAAAAATTATAGTCCTTGTATTACTTCAAAGGTATATCATCCTTATCAAAACTCATCAAAGGTTTCTACAGATGAATTAAAAATGTATAATAACGACTTTCTGGTACACCTAATCTTGCCCACCAACTTCCCCATTTACACAGGTTGCCATCTCTAACTCACATTCATTAGCCAAATGTAGTTCCTATTCTTTAGTTGTGCTTCTCCTCACAACTAGAAATAGATTGAGGCAAGAGAGGTACCTAGGATGCAAAATTTATGGAGACATTCATTCTCAGGGTTGTGCATGTGCCACCCTGTGGTTGCATGACCCTAAAAGTGAATACAGTCTTATTTTGTGTCGTAGGCATCTCTCATGCCTCACCGTAGTCCTGGCCCTACTTCTCTATTCCACCCTTACTCCTCTTACTTCTCTAATAAGCAACAAACCGAAATCTAATTCTGACAAAGCAAATATCTAAAATTAAGCAATGAATTTAACTATAATTTTGCATCCATTTAAAATCATGTTTTCAAAGAAAATCTCTTGTTCACAATGTGATGTTAGGTGAAAAATAGATGAGGCAGGAATGCTTATATACAGTAAGATTTTGGTGTATGTTTTTTGTGTGTTTTTTTCAAATGGGCACAAGTTGTATGTGCATATAAGTGACAGACCTATGTTATTTTTTACTCCCCTTCTTTTGGTGGCACCATATCAATTTATTTCTGTTGAACTACGCTTCTCTTACTCTCAATCCATGTAGTTTGGGTGGCACTAATTATGTATTCCCACTCTCAAGTTTCTGGAATGAGCACAAAGTTCCTGGAACAGGTATATGACCCAGGTGGGAACAATCAACATATTCCCTCCCCCAAGCAGTAGTTCAGGAATGAACTCAATAGGACTGATAAAACGCAATTCTGCAAGAACTAATGGGGAAGTTATCTTTCAGCTGAGGTTGCTAAACTGAAAGAACATGATAAGTATCTACTTCACAGTGAGCCAACCAGCAAAAAGAATTGCTAAGAGATGGAAAGAGATGAAGAACACTCTGAAAACATTTTGCCCCCTAGATCTAATCTCACCTGAGTTCAGGAGAGTTCAGGTGTTAAGAGATATACCTGCTACCACCTTAGAATTACTCTTGGGAAACAATTCTCTCTGGATTTCTCACATTCCTGCACAGAGACTTCTGAGCAAAAGGTACAACAGGGATATCTGCATGACAGACAGCCTTGGAAGCTCCAGACAGTGTCTCCCTACAGATAGAAACCTCCAATGAGCTTTGGAGAAGTAAGCCCTCTCCTTCCCTTCCCTGGAAGACATTACTTATATTCTTTTATTAACTTATGTTTACTAGGCTGCTTTATATTTTTATCTTTATTTACTTATATTCTAGTATAATAAACCTAAACACACTTTGCCTTTCTACCCTGGAGGGATTTGCTCAATGAGCAATCTCTCCCCTCTGCAAGGGGAGTTCCAGACTTAACAGTTACATGAGGCAATAAATTATTTTTTCTTATTTAATAATTCATTCAACAAATATTTGCTGAGAGTCTACATAGTTATGTGCCACACATTTTCTTACACAACAAAATAGACAAAAACCCCTGCCTTCATCGAAATTATATTCAAGAGAGGGAACAAATACAAAATAAATAAAATGCACAGTATTGGCAGTAATCTATACTAATAAAAGAGTAATATGCTAATTAGACCAGATGTCTTCTGGAAGTCCATCTGGACAAAGCCATAGTGGCTGCCTATGAGGGCCAAGGGGCTGGAAGAGGCGGCGGGGCTCAGAAGAGCCCAGCTGGCGTGGGAGAGGCAGTGCGGTGTGGGAGAGGTGTGGGAGAGACTCAGCAGCGTGGCCCCTTTTGCAGACGCCACAGGAGAGGTGCTGCTGCAGCCTCCGCCACTGTGGGAGAGGAGGTAGCGCCGCCACAGCTGCCGCCACCGCCCCTTTTGCAGAGGTGGGACGGGAGAGGCCTCGGCATGAGACAGTCAAGCGCCATGGCCCTTTGGCAGAGGAGGCGTGGGTGAGGGGGCTGCGTGGTCCCGGTCCCAGTACTGCCCCTTCTGCAGAGGCAGCCACAGAGGCAGCAGCGTGGGCCCAGTCCCGGCGCCATGCCTTCGCAGAGGTTGGACGGGGTGTGACCTGCTGTGCCTCAACCTCCCACCGCCTCTCCCCAGCTAGCCTGGCCCCAGATCACCCCCCACCCATGGCGGCCAGCAGTGGCAGCAGCAGCCAGGTGATGGGGGCGGTGCCTTCCCATGATCGGCCCAGTCGCCTCTCACAGAAGGAGGCCAGACTGCAGCTTAAGCCCACTCCCTGCAGGGAGCGGGCCTAAGCCATCAGTAGGACATCCCCTTAGGGCTCACAGACTGTGAGAGGGGGTAGGCCTGGCTGAGAGACCCCCCTCCCACAGTGCATGCACCAGGCCTCTAGTAAGTATTATAAAGAGAAAAAATGCAGGAAAAGGTAAGAAGTGTGAGGGAGGGAGGAGATTTCATATTTATGTTAGATGATTAAGGACTTTACAGATGAAGTGATATTTGAGCAAGGACCTAAGTAGATAAGTAAATCATATGGATATCTGGAGGGAGATTCTAGGCAAGGAGAACAGTAAGTATTTAAGAAAGAGCAAGGAGGCCTGCAGGGAGTAAATGGTAGAGTCAAGAGAAAAATCTGAGTTCAGAGAAAGATCTTTCATGAGAGAGGGAGAGCAGGACCACAAAACTACCTCATTTGAGGACCCTGAGCTTGTACTCAGAGTTACATGGGAAGCAACTAAAACATTCTGAGTAAAGAAGTGACTTGGTCTCTTACTTTTCAAAAGGATGGCACTAATATTCTGAGAGCAACAGCAGTAGCAGGGAGACTTGTTAGGAGTTACATACAAGGAGAGAAAGGGCAGTATTGAACTAGAGTGACCCTAATAGAGGTGGTGAGAGCTGGTAGATTTCAGACATATTTTGAAGCCACAGAATATGCTGAAAGATTGTGTGGGGGAAGTGAAAGAAAAAGAGTCAAGAATAACTTCAAGGTTTGAAGTCTCAACAGAAACAAGGGAAGTGTTGCCATTTACAGAGATGGTGTTAC